AAATATATATATATATATATATATATATATATATATATTTCACATTTGAATGTCATAAGCTAACATTGTTTTTATACTTTAAATTTTGTGTATATAATGTTATTTCTGAAGAGGTTTAACCACTTTTGGAGTATTTTCATAAAGTTGCAGAATTTCAGCATTGTGTCAAAATCTGTTTTTATTATTTAGATAGAGCTGTTTTGTTACTATCCTTCTGTGTATATAACATATAGAGTTTTTGATAACTGTCCTATTTTAAGGTTGTCAGTATAACTTTTCGAAAAGTGTACACAGAAACATAATATCTGAAGCATGATGCCAAAAATATACAAACTGAAATGACTAAATGGTAAAGTTATTAACATGAAAGCTTTTATCATTTAGATATACCAAGTTTTTAAACAGAAAATTTGTACTTTTATCTTCTCTGATGTTGTTTATCTCTGATGAGAAAAGTCTTTTAGATAAAGAGAAATTTAAATTTATTATAAACTTGCTGGTGTCTTAAAACGAGATATTTCAGAAATAGTAAATACATGTTTTCCTTGTTTACACAAAATATACATGTTGAAATAAGAACCTGTAAATTTTGAGTTGACTGTGAAATGGGTGGCAACTGCCTATTAGGGGAAACACTTGTAGAAATATATTGATGACTGTATGATCTACTTTTGCAGCTTAAGTGTAGAAGACATTTTGCAAGTCTTCTGCCTTTGGTCTTCAGATCTGCGAAGATGAAAGGCAGAAGTTCTTAGAAATATATTTTTACAAGTGTTTCTGTAATAGGTAGTTGCCACCCATTTCATAGTCAATTCAATATGAATACTCTACCTAAACTATTTATTAAAGAAATCCTGTAAAGATTTTTGAATTATTCAGCATTGTAGTGTTGGGTGATAACACAACTCTTGATCTGCAGCTGATTTAAACTGAAATGATACGGGCATGTGGTACAGTAGCTAGAAAATATACTAAGTAACTGGAAACATTACAGCATGTTTAAACATATTCTGTACAAAACACCTGCAGGATAATTAGATTTTGTACACCCCCCTCCCATTCAAGGAATATACTGACCAGTTTAATGTGCTGAGTATGTCATTGTCATCCACTCGACTAAGTCAAGGTAAATTTCACTAAAGAGGGTCATAGTAACAGTATTCTATACTTTGTGGCTGCTTTGTAGGACATAGATGTTTGCTTCTTCACTAATGCTTATTTCAGACCACATCATACTTATATTACTATTATATGCGTCATGTTCCTGCATAAAAGTAGAATTAGGTTTGGTTCCAGATTTTGTCTTCATATGGGTGTACAGTTGTTTTGTAACTACCAGGGCCACATTTACGTTTTTGCCACTCTTAGGCACCAAATTTCACTGCCACGCTCTCTTCTCCACT